AAAAAAAAAACAATAAACAGAAGAATCAGCTAACCCAAACTCGTGGAAGACAACTGACTCCTGACTGAGTACAGTAGATGGCTTGGGCAGTATATACGGTCACTGGCAGTGGGACCAAGATCTAACTCTAATGCATGAACTGACTTTGTAGAGCCCAGTCTCTATGGTAGAGATACCTTGCTTAGAGCGGGTGGGAGATGGGGAAGCGGGGTTGGAGGAGGGACTGGGAGAAGAGGAGGAAAGGGGAACTGGGGAACTGCAAAAACTAATGTTTTTTTTTTAATAAAAATTAATCATCTTAGAATAGAACAAACAACAAAACAAAACAAAAACCTTTGAATCATTCCAGATCCAGTGATTATCATGATTTCTGTCATTTTTAAAAGCTGCAGTTTCAATTTCATGGCTAAACATTCCTGTCCCGCTGCTTTGTGATACTTTGTTTTTGAAATACTCCCTGAACTCTTAATAACTGTTTTAGGCCTTGAAGACAGCAAGTGGAATAGACAGGACTCCTGCCTTCGGAAAAGCGCTCTCCCTACTTAAAAAAGGGGTCTATGAGCAAGCAGTCTGTGAACTACATTTGTGGGAACCAGAGCACCTCCGTTCTGGGGTCTCAGGGTCTGAGTGCAGCTCAGGAGGCACATGAAAGCTTTGCAGGCAGGAGGGGAGGGAGGAAGCGCGATGGGTAATGGGCAGAGCAGCTCAGACTAGTTCAAATTCACTTCAGCATGGCTCAAGTGCGGGTTCTGGAAGGGGATCCACAGAAAGCAGGAAGTGGGGGCAGAAACCTTGGCCAAAGGTTCAGTCTGAAGGACAATAGAAGGCGTTAGGGAGTTTTAGACAGAGAACGACCTGGTGACGTCTGTGTTCCTAAAAGGTTACTCTGGCTGTGCTGTGGAAGATGGGGGGGGGGGGGGGGGCAAGAGGTGAAAACATAAGAGGAACTTCAGTCCATTGCTGACCAGAAAGTGCAAGCAGCGCAGAGGCACAGGGGATCAGCCCGAAATAAGGCAGGAATTCGGAGGCGCTTAGAGCAGAGAAACCGAGACCTACGCCCACCACCATACTGTGAGAGAAGGGACACAGACATTGAAGCCCTACCCAGTGGTGGCTGAGGATGTGTGAGCCTCTGCTGGGGTGAAGAAACTGCAGAAAGAGAAAGCAAGGAGCTGATCTTAGGCAGTCTGAGACACTTGGAGATTATCTGGGTGTTTTCATGGACCGTGATTCAGCTCAAAGATCTTAGCTGAGTAAGATAACACATTGGTGTCCATCCTGGACTTTTGGGATCCCTTACACTTACTGAAATGAAATACCATATGCCAAATCTCATAGAGATGGGGTCTATTTTACCATTAAGGAAAGGGTCCATAGAAATGAGTTTTAGTTAGCAAATAGGTATTGCATGTCATATAACATAAATGTTAAATATTATTTAAAATTAAATTCACATAATGCGCATCTTGTGCTGTCTTTTGTAGCTTCAGATAGATAAGATGCCTTTAACAGAAACTGTGTTGAAATATGAACAGTTCTAGAAGTTACCAAGTACTCCCTGAAATTTGATCCCAAAGTAGAAAGACAAACAAAGACCAGACGAGGCCAGCCTGGTCTACAAGAGCTAGTTCCAGGACAGGAACCAAAAGCTACGGAGAAACCCTGTCTCGAAAAAAAAAAAAAATCCAAAATAGATTTTGTCTTTGGGGTGTGAAGTCTCTTCACACCCCAAAGTATCAGCCACCAGAAGAACAGAAACCATCACCAAAATAGTCGCTAACAAGTGGGGTTTTCCTCTGTGTAGTGGTAGGCGGGTTGTTCTCTACACACAGGTTGGGAGAACACTGCTACTGCCTTTGCATGAGGAATGCACACGGAAAAGCAAAAGTGAACATAGAAAGAGTGTTTGGAAAGAGGAGGGGACGGGTGGTCAGGAGAGTCAAAATAGGACCAAAGAATACTACGTACATATATGAAAATGTCATCATGGGAACTAGAAAGTGCTTAAGAGCACTAATGGCTCTTGGAAAGGACCCAGGTTCAGTTCCCAGTACATGGTAGCTCAAAAACATGTTAAAAGAGAAAGAAAGAAAGAAAGAAAGAAAGAAAGAAAGAAAGAAAAGAAAAGAAAATGTCACAATGAACTCCATCATGTGTGTAATATCTTCAAATAAAACTCCAAAAGTAGAGAAGCAAAACAATAAGCGGAACACTGGCCCTCTGGAAAGACTGGTACCACTGACTTCTGGCTGTACTGATGACCTCTGTCTCCCCGTCTCCTGGAGTCCCTATGTGTATCGCGACACTTGCCTATACAATAGCCTTTTGGGCAACATGACATGTGATAGATATACAGGGTAATGTTGGAGAGAAGCACAAAGTGCTAGGTGATAGTAAAGACCTCATTAGCTTGACCTCCAGAACTCACTTCAAATGCTCAACATTTGTGCACCCTCAGTGCGAGTAGGGCGCAGTACTTACTGAGAGCTATGAGGAGAGCTATGAGAGCATGTGGGGGGCGCTACCTTCCTAAGCCATCAGGGAAGTTTCTGCTGGGCTGCACCTCCGCCCCCACTCTCTGTCAAACAGTGTCCACTCTTGTTCTCTTCCTCTTCCCACCCCAGTGCCTTTCTGACGTGGCCCACATCTTCTGTGCAGGGCTCTGGCTCCTCCCCTGGTGCCTGGCTGGGCTGCTCTCCCCGGCTGTTGCCAGCTGTCTACTCTCTTCTCCCTCAAGTCTCAACTCCTTGAGGGCAGAAACTGAATCGGTTTCTATTTTCCCGTCCGCAGTCCTAGCTTGCAGCACAGCCGTATCCCACAGCAAGTAGAGAGTGACTGTGTACACAAGCAGACAGGGACACTTTCAGGGAGAAACTAGAAGGGGGGAAAACTTGAAAAAGAAAACTCAGTTTTTCCTTAACGAGTAAATGACATTATTATGAGACATTATATATCTTAGTGAATCAGAGAATCAAGCACAAAGAAAAATTGTCACCAAGGCAGTGATCTTTTTAAAATAAGGCATACTAATCTTGAAAAGGCTTTGTGGTCTTATACTATCATTGTCTCTAAATACAATGAACAAAAATACCAAGTAAAAATTCCAAAATAGAGTTCGAGGCCAGCCTGGTCTACAAGAGCTAGTTCCAGGACAGGAACCAAAAGCTACGGAGAAACCCTTTCTCGAAAAAAAAAAAAATCCAAAATAGAAAATGCTGACTCTTAGAACACATGTACAACTGGATTTTTTTTCTTGATGTAAAAATAAGTTCCAAGAAAATTTACATTATTCATCATATGTTAGTCAAAGCCAGGAATAGGTGGCAGTGTTTAGTTACACAGCAGAATTTTAACAAATGCATTTAAAGTTTGTAGAAATACTTCTAAGTAGATATTATGAAGTCTGGTGGACTGTGAGTTATGCTGTTAGAATCACATGGACTGACAGTGAATATAATAAGATGTTCTTCAGAGGAAGGTTTTATCAAGAGACAAGTTTTGTTCAATGATGTTGCCACATGGTAAGATACTTTAATGCTGGCCCTTTGGTGTCACTTTCAGAGTCGTTTATGGTGCCCTCAAGACTTGACAGAAGAAACTCATGGAAGGCTATATTTATTCTGGATCATTAAAATGAGCAACCTAAAAATATAAGGAGTGCTTTTCTAAGCATTTTCAGTACAATATAAACAGGACTTTTCTATAGACCTAAGCCATTTGTCAAGGGACATTTTTATTGATGATGTTCAAATACAACACAGATGGAAATGACAGAGGATTAAGCATTTCAAAGGTCCTTTCAGATCCGAGTCTATTATCCTAAGAATATCAGTGCAATTATTTTATGGTCTCACATCATGTATGTTATAATATGCATGCATAGAACCCTTTTCCAGATCTGTGCTCAAACACCATCTCATTACAGAAACCTCTTGAAATGTCCTCCCCAAACCTTACTTCCTGTATCCTGTTTGATCATCTCTGTAGTCCTTCTGTTTGCTGTGCTCTGTTGTCTATGTTTGTGAATTCTAACATATGGTGTGTATTCAGTAATTTTCATGACAACAATGAGCTACATCTATCAGAAACTTAAAGGAAAAGAGTAAAACAGTTCTCCTAATTTTACATAATTATTTACTCCTAAATCTTTGCACTGACCAATGTGCCATGGGTCTAATGTATCATTAATAATGAATTTTTGCTAAATTTATATTCATTTCATTGTTTTAAAAGCAGTTTTAGCATATTTGTGATTAATTTTATGTAAAATGTCACTGTTAATCACTGTTAAGCTGAATAATTCATTTTACTCACCAGATTTATATATCTATAATAGCTTGATGGCACTGCCAAAACTCAAATCCATCTTTTAATAAGAAAGTACCATGTGTTCAACAAAAATATGTGTTACTGGTTCAAAATAAGAAAGCCAATACTGTTAATTACCTTACCTGACCATCATTCAATGCAAATCACAACCACATTGAACCTCAGAAGTAGGAACAAATATTCTGTATCTTCAAAACACAAAAGTAATTTTTAAAAGTTAGTTAATCATTTATAGTTTCACTATTCTCTATCTGAATGTGTCCTTGGATTCTGAAGGCAGAACACTATGAGTAAAAATAAAACATATTTAACTGACTCATTTATGCAAGAGTGGGGTTAGAGAACTCACACTCTTTGACTTCTGTTGCACGACCAAGCTACAGAAAATGAGATTATGGAACCGTGGCAAATAGACAGACACATATCAACAGACCAGAACCACCCAGACGTCTATTATTACATCAATATCAGTTTCTTTTCCACAGTCGTGCCAAGCAATATACCAGAAAAGTCTTCTTGACAAATAGTGTTAGGATGAGTAGGTGTCTGTCTGTGTGTCTGTCTGTCTGTCTGTCATCTATATCTATCCATCCATCAATCAAATCTATCTATCTATCTATCTATCTATCTATCTATCTATCTATCTATCTATCTTGTCTATCCATCTGTCTGTCATCTATATCTATCTGTCTGTCTATCTGTCTGTCTGTCTATCTATCTCATCTGTCTGTCTGTCGATCTCTCTGTCAGTCATCTATATCTATCAATCTATGTATATATACATCCACATATATATATGTATATCTTACTTTCTACACACATAAAAATTTAGTCAAAATGGGTTATAAACCTAAATCTAAAAAGCAATCTGAACTTTTGAGCAAAACACAGTAATAAATCTTTGCACAGTGGGATTAGAAATGATGTTTTAACTATAAACACCAAGAAACAGCTGACAGAATAAAAACTGAAAAAGTGAACCTCATTTTAAAAAATTGCTCTTTTAAAAACACTAAAAAGGAAACCAAAGAATGGGAGGAAATATATACAAATCACTTGTCTCATTAAATATTTGTTTCTCAAATATTTAAACAGCTCACCACTTAGTAAAAAGACAACTGAATATATAAATAAGCACAAAACTTGAGTATGTCATCAAGGGCAATGAGCACATGAAAGTACACTCAACATCATTAGTAACTAAAAAGCGGAAGACCACCATTTTGTCCTCCCTGAAACGGCTGTGACCAGGAAACGCAACAGTAACAGGCATTGAAAGGGAACTGGAGCCTTCCGACGGTTGGGTATTCATGGGTGAACAATGAATGGTTTGAAACTCCACTAAAAGTGAGTTTACCCTACAACCTAACGTTTCTTCTACAGAGAAATAAAAACAGTATGAATATTCGAAGGCTTTCAGGAAAGTGTCATCTGCTGCATTCTTCACAGGCCACGCCTAGAAACAGCCCAAATAGTCACAGCAGCTCTGCTGAATGAATAAATATGATAAGCTGTGTATGTGTTGGCATATGCATATTTCTATGCACACTTATCACTGCAGTTTTATACATCTGTATTCTCAAATTAGCAAGGAATTCTACAAACTCCATAGATAATATAGCACTGTCTCAAGAATGAATGCATATGTATAATTAAAAATTAATGTCTTTCTAGTTTTCAGCTCAGATACCATCTGGGTTGAAATTCTAGACCTTTCTACTTCTTAGCTTTGTTTTCCTAAACTAGTTATTCAACCTCTCAGGGGTTTACGCTTTTCAGATACAGACAATGATAATAATTCCTCATATGATTGTGGGATTAAATGATACAAAATATACAGAGTGTTGAGCATTGGTTTGTCACAGTGTAAGTCTTTAATAAATTGGAACAGTCCAGTTTCTACTCACATAGAAAGGAGAAGGCAGCCATTTGGTGACGTGGAGAAGATGCCTTCTGTCCTTCCAGCTGTCAGCCTTAAAGTGTTTCACTTACTCTCTCCGTCTCAAATTGCCAAAATCTGTAAATGACGGTCAAACTGTAATTCTAAAGTACACACAACTAAGGGACCGTATGACAGGGTTTCACATACCACAAAGCACGCTAATTTATAAATTCCTGTATTATCATAGCTTCTGTCTTCATCATACAACCCGGGTTCATATTGAAAGAAGCTGTTCATGGCCGCAGTGTCTGTGAGAAGACATTTTCAAAACAAAGTTTCCCCTCCAACGGTTGAGCACAGAGTAGGGAGAATCATGTCAACTCCTATCTGAAACACTCGCCTGTCGTCACCAGCTATCAGGCTCAGCTAAATATGGCTCTGGCCACTCTGTGAATAATCCCTGCTGGTTCTGAGACCTCCATCCACCACTGATGTGACATTCTTTGTGTTCAAATATCTAGCTGACGTCTGATGCTTAAAACAGCCCATGCTTTCAGCCTCTCCACATTGTCAGAGCCCTGCATCACCTCTCTTAAAAGGCTCCTGAGGCCACTCCTCACGCCAGCTGCCGACCAGCCTGACACTTGCCTCCCCGGGTCAGCCTCCGCTTGCCTTGAATGCCTGGTTCTTTAAGCTTTTGGGGTGTCTGACGAGGTTGGGACCATGTCTACATTTGGCTACAGAAGGGGACTTAGTAAATATGAATCCATCGATGAGGATGAACTTCTGGCCTCCCTCTCGGCTGAGGAGCTTAAGGAGCTTGAGAGGGAGCTGGAGGACATTGAACCAGACCGAACCCTTCCTGTGGGGATGAGGCAAAAGAGTCTGACGGAGAAAACCCCCACAGGGAACTTCAGCAGGGAGGCGCTGATGGCTTATTGGGAAAAGGAGTCCCAGAAACTTCTGGAGAAGGAACGGCTTGGGGAGTGTGGAAAGGTAGGCTTTGACGACTGTGCCCTGGCTGTGCCCATCCTCTTTACCCCACCCCCAACTCCAAAGCCAGACACCCCTGTTTTCTGAGAACACAGCTTCCCAGTGTTCATCACTTAAATTTTCTTATAGCCCAATTGCGTCCACTACTGCACTATTTTCCAGGCCAAAACAGTCTTGGTGAGAGTAGTTTTACTGATTAAAATGGGAACCTGGAAAGGAAACTGCTTCAGAGAGTATTGGTCTGAATGATTCATCAAATACTCCAAGGCGCTGATGTTGCGTAGCATGTTTCTGGTACAATTTTCCTTCAGTTAAGTACATTTATTTCTTGATACTTTAACAGCAATAATGGCGGCAGTAAAGGCAGCTTTATATTTCCAATGCCCAAGTTCAAAGCTATGGGATGAGGATGGAAATAATAGTCAAGAGTCCTCTTTGCTCCTCCTGTTTGTCATTAAGTTGTTAGAGTTTGTACAGACAATTGTTCCTTCAAGGATTCTCTTTCCATGTGTCCACTGAGAGAGTTCATTTTTTTTTGTTTCTTTTGTGAATCAAGATTCTCCCCCTCCCCATTGAGATTCCGACAAGTTCTTGTGCTTTCCCCAAAGAGAAGACATGCTTTTAGCATAGAATCTAAATGACAAAACTCATCAAGGATGCAGGTTAAGCCTGTGCGCACAGATGCATCTATGACAATCTTCCTCCTTGAAGGGGATTCGGAGACTAGGACCCATGCTTATGTTGGAGAGCTCAGGTCTAGGGAGCCCATGTGTGCTGCCCAGGCAAGAGTCATTTTGAATTTCCCAATGAGTCATCGCTGTAAGGAAGTTCAAAAGACTACCCTCTGGGAAAGTCATTATAGTGGCAGAACGCTATTATAGGAAAGAAAGTTTGAGTTCATGGAAGAAAAAGAAAACAGACTACAAACAACTATTGAAAAGCCTGTGCAGGCCACTGAAATAACTGGCTCATGGTGGCCAGCTTGCCGCAGTACTAACGTGGGAACTGTGGGGATCTTGGCGATAGCTGTGTGCACATTTGTAGCAAGATACATGTGAGCTTAGCCCATGTCAGTCATCGTCGGAAGGGCCACTGGGACCAAGCCAGGATCTTCCAAGGCCACTGTGGCTGCAGTCACGAGAAACCAGAGGGAGAGACGAGAACACTTATGACCAGTGACGATCTGGGCTAGTCAGTTCTTCCATGACCGTGCTTTAAAAGTTGGATTTGATTGATTTCCTTATTTGGTTTTGGTTTGTTTGTTTGTTTGTTTGGAATGCAAATAAGAGTCAACAGTCTGATGAAATAAAATGACGTCTTAACTATTGTTGCTAAAAAAAAATTTTCTCCAAGCTGAGAATGCAACTATCCCTAAGAAGCCAGAACACAGAGGCACGTACAACAATAACACGACAAAGGCATTTTAATGTCATAATGTTATGACAGCAGAGAGAACCGAAGGGCAAAGCCTCCTGTCAGCTGTTGTTGACACCCACCTCATGCTGCCAAAAAGTTTTGCTGATCCTGCCAATGGCTTATCGGTCCAATTAGAGAGGCTGTCTTTTTTTCTTCTACGAACTTTGATTCCCTTCTCAGCTGGTTCACTTTTCTCCCACTTCACAGTCCCAGCCAGCTGTCTCTGTAGTCACAAGGGTGCTGAACAAAAAGCCTGCTGACTGACAGAGGGAGTAAATCCAGTCGTGCCCCCCCCCCCCCCCGCAGGGAAAACGTTCAAGCAGCTGAGGGGAGAGGGGAGCGGATGCTTGTCTCAAAGATGATGGCACAAAGAGGTTCCATGAGAAGGAGCCGGGATCTGGATGAGATGGGGGTGGTGAGGCTACTGGCTTTGTGAAGGTTTAGGAACAGTCTGTGTAGCACCTGTTGAGTGACAGCCTTATTTCTATTCATCTAGGTTGATATAAATGTGCCCTACCTCAGCCCAAGGCACCCTAGACATGCAATGGTTTAGTTCTCTTCACTTGAGTAGTTGCCGGGGCTAAGGCACAAGGACCAATGGTTTTTCTCACCTTATCTCATCTCATCTTACCTTTCTGCATTTGAGAGCCAGGACCAGGAAAAGTTAAGGAACTTATGTGAGGGTAGCAGCTTGTCAGTCAAGTTGGGATTGAAACTAGAGACTCTTGGCATGAAGGTAGTTTTTCAGATATGTCGGTGCTGGCCCAGCAGGAGGAACATGGTCTGGTCCTTCAAAAGGCACAAATTCTAAGCCTCTTTAGGCTATGCAGATGGGAAACTATCAGGGTAGGCCCAACTAGCTGGGGTCTAGCAACCCCATCTGCAATTTAGGACACATACTAACCATAGGACTATATGAATCACGCAATTTCTTGAGACCCAGAAAGGCCAGATGATTTGTCTAAAGTAAACCAGCTCTTGACATGGAGAACCAGGACCAGAGCTGAAAGCCAAGCCTCGTGCTTCCCTACAGCCATGATGGTGTTGTAGAGATACCTGGAAGAGGCTGGCTGTCTCCTGGCTGTTGTTCTGTTTACTCTCCATGTTCACCAGCATCTGCATTCCGTCCGCTCAGTCCTTCCCACCTCATCTCCCACCTTTCCCTATGTCCACCTTTCTACCCCATTCCCCAAAAGATCAGTCCTAACTCCAAAGCAGCAGATGTAGGAAACCAGTGAGCACTTCTTCTCTCCAGTGTAGGACTAATTCATAAAGGAGCAGGGATCGCCCTGTGGGCCATCCGACCTTTCCCGTTCCCCTTGCTGCAGTCTCTTCTCCCATATGTTCCCCTCCTGGGGTGATCAGCAATCTCGGACTGCCCTGGATTGCTTTAGAAAATGTCTGTATCTTGGTAAACCCCCAGGCTTGGGCAAATAGGCAGGGCACTTGATCACTTTATGCCTCCTGACCTTATCAGTATTTCCTGTAGGTATGAGATGCTGTTAACCAGTGTCAACTGAGATCATGCAGTAAATGAAAGTTTACTGAGCCTCTCTAACATGCTAGGCACTGCGCTAGGTGAGAAAGCAACATGGGCCTACACCCATTTCAAACAGTCTATGGAGAAACTGGCAAACAAGCAGTTAAAGTGTGGGCTGTAGCTTATTGGGAGAAATGTCAGTGCAGACATCCCAGGCACTACTTTAGGAAGGGTTAAAAGGTGGCCTCCTAGAAGAGACATCGACAGACATTACATAACAGCTCACGTTGCTAGAGAACTGACATGCTTTTCAGCTATATTTCGAAGGGGAAGGGCGTTTGTAGAGAGAGGCTAAAGATCTCAAAGTTGTTTTTATTTGCATTTCCCTGATCACTAAGGAGGTTGAACATGACCTTAAGTGTCTTTTGGCCATTTGAACTTCTTCTGTTGAGAATTCTCTGTTCAGTTCAGTACCCCATTTTTTAATTGGGTTAATTAGAATTTTAATGTCTAGTTTCTTGAGTTCCTTAAAGATCTTTAAGTACCAAAGGAGATGAAACTTTGTGGTCGTATGAAAGGCAGCCTACTCTGGATTTTGAAACAGTCCAAAACCACGAGGATGCAGCACACACCCATAGACAACTGATGGAGACCCCACTTTCGAGAACTTATACAAAGCAAAGTGACTTCAGTTGGGGTGTCAGAACTCTGTCTAACTGGTCCATTGCCTGCCTTGCAGGGTGTTCGGTATCATTGAGTTGTGACTCCTGTCCTTCCATCCCTTTGACAAACAAATAGACAGACACACAGACAGACAGACAGACACCCTCTCCCTTCTTCTCCTAATATATCAAGTAAACTGAAACTGGACAGGTCATCCCAGGCCATCCCTTGGTGCCTGTCACTCTAAACAAGTGTAGCTAACTGGAAGCTACTTTGTGACAACTGGGCAGACAAACCTGGAGACCAACAGTGTTTTCCAAAGCTTCATCCTCCTGCACATGCCACAGACAGCGGCACCCAAAGTGCTTCCAGTGTAGAGGATGGAAGAGGCTGTGGGGGAAGGAAGGGCCATGGGGCTTCGAATGAGACAAGCAGAAAGCCTCACAAGAGAGTAAAACAGACACTCCAAGGCATTTCCAAGGCTTTTTCTAATAAAAGAAGACAGGACAGAGAGAAAGCAGTCTTTGAGGAGTCTGCAGAGGGACTTGTGAACAGAAGTGACAAAGCTAGAATCAAATCCTGTTTACCTGAAACCCTGTTTCAAGGGATGAATGCTAATTACGTTTAAAGGGTTGGCTGGGCAAAAACCTGCTTTGAACTTTGCTGCGGCTGTCTGCTCCTGCACACTGCTGGGTGGGATCTAGGGAGCCTAGCCTTCTGCAAGTGGTCATGCTTTACCATGGCATCCACCAGAGGTTTTGTTTACTGCTTGTTTTTCCCAGAGAACAGCTTTTGGTCTGCCCTGATCAGCGACTCTGGAAGAGCGTAGCATTTCCACATGTTTGTGCTGGGTGCCATCACACAACAGATAAATGCTGGAGCCGCAAACTGCATCTGCTTTCTCTACATGGAGACTAACATGACAGAGGGCACTTGGCTTGGTCACATCTGTAATTGATGTAACATTAGGGGAATAAACACTCTTGCTTGGCTTATGCTCCCAGCCCTGGGCCTTCTCTTTGAGGCAGAGTCTCACTAAATTACCTAAGCTGACCTTGAACTCTCTCTACCATAGACAAGCCTTGAACTCACTACCCTCTTGCTTAGCTTCAACCTCCTAATTAGCCAAGATAACGGGTGTGTGCCAACAGGCCTGGTGAAATCTGAGCATCAAGGGCAGGGAATTCACTGCCATATTGTTTATTTTTGTTGTACTTGTTTGGTAAGAAATAGGAAAGGACAGTGTAATCCAGAGGGATTTGCAAAACTGGAACAAAATGAGTTGTGAAGTCAACTAAAATTTTCATATTTTCTTATTTTATTTATGATGGCACATGTACAGGTCGAAAGACCAGGGGATTGAAGTCCATTGGGCTTATGCTGCAAGTACATTTATCTGTTGCAATATCTTGCTATGCCTAAAATGTTGAAAAATTTATCCAGCATTTTCCGAAGGTGAAACTCTGACTTCTGTATTCAAACTAGGAAAATGATCACATATTCTTATTCAGTAAAAGCCCGCTCTTTTGTAGAAGATAAATGTTTACAGAGAAGCTGTTAGTGGTTATGCAACCAAACATTGACCTTGGCCACTTGAACTGGAGAGGTGAGAAACAAGGGCTTGCTAACCCTGCTCTCCCCAGGACCTTTGAGGTACTTATGCTACTTTTGTAAACTCATAAATGTGCTTGCAGGGAAACCTTAATGGTGTCAATACACTCCTTAGGTTGCCGAGGAAGACAAGGAAGAGAGTGAGGAAGAACTAATCTTCACAGAAAGCAACAGCGAAATCTCTGAGGAGGTGTGTACAGAAGAGGAGGAGGGGCAGGAGGAGTCTCAGGAGGAAGAGGAAGAGGAGGAAGAGGACAGCGAGGAAGAGGGCAGTGAGGAAGAGGAAGCTACAACTGAAGCCACAAAACACATTAATGGAACTGTAAACTACAGTAGCGCTAATTCAGATAACTCCAAGCCAAAGACATTTAAAAGTCAAATAGAAAATATAAATTTAACCAATAGCAACAGTGGAAGGACACAGAGGAACACGGAGTCGCCCGCCGCCATTCACCCTTGTGGAAATCCCACCGTTATTGAGGACGCCCTGGAAAAGATAAAAAACAATGACCCTGACACAACAGAAGTCAATCTGAACAATATCGAGAACATCACCACACAGACCCTGTCCCGCTTTGCGGAAGCGCTCAAGGAGAACACAGTCGTGAAGACGCTCAGTCTGGCCAACACGCACGCGGATGACGCCGCGGCGATTGCCATCGCAGACATGCTCAAGATGAATGAGCACATCACCAGTGTCAACGTGGAGTCCAACTTCATCACGGGCAAGGGGATCCTGGCCATCATGAGAGCCCTGCAGCACAACACCGTGCTCACCGAGCTGCGCTTCCACAACCAGAGGCACATCATGGGCTCCCAGGTGGAGATGGAGATTGTCAAGCTGCTCAAGGAGAACACCACGCTGCTGAGGCTGGGCTACCATTTTGAGCTCCCAGGACCAAGAATGAGTATGACGAGTATTTTAACAAGGAATATGGATAAGCAGAGGCAAAAGCGCATGCAGGAGCAGAAACAGCAAGAGGGGTACGACGGAGGAGCCGCTCTTAGGACCAAAGTCTGGCAAAGAGGGACGCCAGGCTCTTCTCCATACGGCTCTCCAAGGCAGTCTCCCTGGTCATCTCCCAAAGTCTCCAAGAAAGTCCACACTGGGAGAAGCCGACCTCCATCTCCAGTAGCCCCCCCTCCTCCTCCTCCCCCTCTTCCTCCCAACCTGCTGCCTCCTCCCCCTCCTCCCCCTCCTCCTCCACTCCCAGAGAAAAAGCTCATCACCCGAAATATTGCAGAAGTGATTAAACAACAGGAAAATGCCCAGCGGGCCCTACAAAATGGACAGCGGAAGAAAAAAGGGAAGAAGGTTAAGAAACAGCCAAACAACATCCTGAAGGAAATAAAGAATTCGCTGAGGTCAGTGCAAGAGAAGAAAATGGAAGACAGCTCCCGACCGTCTACCCCGCAGAGATCAGCTCATGAGAACCTCATGGAAGCCATCCGGGGGAGCAGCATAAGACAGCTCCGGAGGGTAAGTCACCCCTGAACTAACCCTAAGGTGAAACTGATTCAATGAACCAGTCTCCACGGATAGATGCTATCAAAGCCACCTCTCCAAATTATTATGAATCTTTTAATATTTGTGCATATGAGAGCAAGCACGTCAAGAGTCAGTCGGCATTAGGGGTGGGTACATTGGGCGAGAGAATGAACACATTCCCCTTCGTGCCAACTTATTATCTCAGCCGGGATCATTTGATGACACTCCAACATATAAACATTCGATTTTTCTAATTAAAAAAAAAGAAGTATTATCAGCATTCTGAAAAGATTAATCGCTTCTCAGAATTTTCACCCCAAAACTGCAAAGGATTTACTACCAAATTTATAAATGTGGGTAATCACCACTTGGCAATCATAATCTACATTCAAATTTCCCTCAGGGTAAGGTGCTAAAGGTAGACCCTACAGGTGGTGGTGGTGATGGTGATTTACTTGAACACTCAAGTTGCTTGATTGAAAGGCCACGCCCTGTCTTTGTAGGTGGAAGTTCCCGAGGCTCTGAGATAAACCTGTCTGTAGAAGAGGACCCGGAACTGTGTAGTGGTGTGACCTGAGGTGCCTTGCAAGCTGCTTCCAAAGTGCCTTCTTTAATCTGAAATGTTCCCGACTTCAACAATAGTGTCACTGTGGAATTCCAAAGGGAATTTTAAGAAGCAACCAGCACGTTTCTTTTGTAAATATGAAAATAAACTTTTTTTTAATGTCATAAGATTTATGCAGGCAGAGGCCAGCAAGATTTCTTTGCAGCTCTGGTATCTCGGTGACTGAGTGCAAATCACTTAAAGAAATGTGCTATTATTTTTGTAACCCCAATAACCTTAGATTAATTTTTTTCTTTTTTTTAAAAAAAGAGAAACTATTATTTTTCTGAGTTAATACATCTGCTGGCTATGTATGTAATATTGCTAAATATTAAAATCATTACGTTCTCGCACCAAAAGGGTTCATGCTCTTAGCATTTGCTTTCTTTCTTCATGCCCAAGAAATTCTAGCCAGATCTCTTTCCAGAAGATAAACCTCAAGAACCACAGACCCTTACCTAAGACAGACACAGACAGAAGGGCAGCCTCTCAGATAGGATGACAATATGGATTTTTAAATACAAATGTGACCAGACTTAAAACACACACACACACACACACACACACACACACACACACACACACACACTAATGAAAAAACAAAAACCCAAACCAAAAGCTCCCACAAAGGTTCAATGATGTGGGATGTTATTTCAGTTTGACGATGGTACACACAGTGGCCTGAACTCAAGATTTAATGTTATTCTGTAAAACAACAACTTGATAAAAAGTTAAGTGTTTAAAAAGGTTTTCCCAACTTAAACTTTTAAGGCCACGGGGAATGGTTCAGTCAGGAATGTGATTTGGGACTCAGAGCCTGCGTAAAGCCTGCTGTGGACATCCCAGCACTGAGAGTCAAGAACAGGTCCTGGAGGCTCACTGGCCAGCCATACCAGCTGAACCAGCGAGCCCCAGTTTGCTTCCAGGAAGACATTCACAAACAGGCAGGAAATCCAGAGCGAAACCCACCCGTTTGGGTTGTTCCAGAGCTTTTGTAGTAGCTTGGTCCCTCACGGTGGAGGCTAGAAAGGTGTACTTTCTTTAGAAGGAACACAGCATAGCCACATCTTGGCACTGTGACTGAGCTGAAAACAGGCGAGCTGTGTTCAGTTCACATATTCAAAGTTGTTATGTGGTTGAAAAGGATCACAGCTGAAATATGAGGACGTAGGACTTGTCCAAAAGTACGAAACAGGAAAAAGCCTATTGACAGGGTCCTATCCCCCTCTCCCGACTCCCCTCCTCCACCATCCCCGGGTTAAGTTTTCAAGAGAGTGCGGCTAGGGAGCAGCCAGGTGGGCAATTCTCTGCGCATGCTTCAGGGCCCTTTACTGGGAGCACCCTGCTTCCACGTGTAGTCCAGAGCAACGGTCAGCAGGTTCCCCGTTAGAGCTGCGAGAGGCAAGGGCTTTCAATCGGAAAATGAAAGTCATGTTCTCAAAAGTCCTCCCGAGGTAGGTAACCATAATCTTTAAAGCTTTATGTTTTGAAGTCATTAAATAAATTTGTATCTAGGACTGAGACTTTTGACACTGGCTCTTCTGCACTGATTTTTAGAAGTAGCTTGTTCCCAACTGAAACACTGTAATTCGCTGGAGTATAATTACCCAACGTTAAATGTTTGTTAACAACAGAACATTTTGGAGTCACATATTTTTTAAAAATTAGGCACCCAATTGAAAGGCATTCCAATCCACTCTCATCAGAGTGAGCAGTTATTGGCATGAGTACTAACTTTCTCTTCCTGAATGAAACCTGATGATCCATTACTCACTGTTACATAAACAGCAACACATTTCTCGAGTTACTTTAGGTGACAAGTGTACAGGTTGTCTTCTGTAAGTTTATAAAAAATAATCCTCATCCAAGATAGGGCTTGGAGTGCCTTTACCCAAGATTAAAAACCAATAAA